TTACAAATCGGAATGACCTAAAATTTAGAGCTGTGTATTCATAAAAAATAGGGGAATCTTTGAAAAATATGAAACAAATATTTTACATGAAAAAGATTGACCAAAATACCCTCAAAATGTTTTGAGGGTATTTTGATCAGTTTTGTTTTCACATATAACTTTTTTTATATTTTTATTAAATGTGCCTCACTAAGATGTACATACCCTCCAAATTTCAAGCTATTCTGATTTATAAAACAGAAAAAATGAAAAATAAAATGTTATCAAATAATCATGACCGCACGATGAAATTTGGACAGTGATGAGGGTAGGCGAATCACTATTCATTTTTGGCTATAGGCATTGGGTAGACTTTTCCTTATTTATTTCCAACGCCTATAGGTGAAAATGAATAGTGATTTTGCCTACCTTCATCACCGTCCAAATTTTATCCTGCTGTCACGATTGTTTGATAGTGTTTTATTTTTTGCATTTTTTTCTTACAAATCAAAATGGGCTGAAATTTGAAGGGTATTTACATCTTACTGAGGCACATCTAATAAAAATATAAAAAAAAATTATCTGCAAAAAAAAAATTGACCAAAATACTTCTAAAACGTTTCGGGGGTATTTTGGTCAATTTTTTCATGTAAAATATTTGTTCTATATTTTTCAAAGATTCCCCTATTCTTGATGAATACACGTTCCAATTTTAGGTCATTTCAATTTGTAGAAAAAAATAAAAAATGAAACACTACCGGACAATCGTGACCGCGCGATGAACTTTGGACGGTGAAGGGGGTAGGCAAAATCATTGTTCATGTTCGATATATATATATATATATATTATATTGATATATTATATTGTATTATTTATATGAAAAATTGTTTCATACGGACTGGACCGTATTTCTACAATGTGCGGTCCAGAGGTATAAAGCATCCATCTTAAAGATGGATGCAAATAGGTGGTCCATTTAAAAACAAGTATAACTAACTGTCCAAATGTTTTCTTAATATAACTATTATTTTTAATTTTCAAATTTTACTTTCTTTTTCATATTCATGATGACAAAGATTATATATTCTCTAAAATTAAGATTAAATGATATTTAAAAAATATATTTATTGTCAAGCCCGCATTTCTACAATATGCAGCTCAGCTGCATAGAAACCGTGTCCTATTTATATTGATATTATTAATATATATTTGTATTATATATAGACAACGTCAATGACAGGTGAAGAGTCTATTTTAAAAAATTATTAGATGATGAACACATTGGGAACATAGTGGTTGACAGAACAGTTGGTACAAGTGACAATGGAGGTCATAAATACATTTGTCGGATTAAGATGTCGAAAGTGAAAGAAGCTTTGAAAATGATGAAAATAGGAAACGTTTTAGGACCATATAGTATCCGATAGACGATTGACAGTGTATGGGGAAAATTGGCATTGACTGGGTAACGAAGTTGTTCAACAAAGTATTTAGAACAAAAAAAATGTCAGATGAATGGAGGAAAAGTATTGTAGTATCTATTTACGAGAACAAAGGAGACATACAAATTTATGCAAACTATCGAGGGATCAAGCTTATGGGCCATATTATGAAGCTCTGGGAGATAGTCATGGAGCAATGACTAAGGCATGAAACGAGTGTATCTGAAAACCAATTTGGTTTTATGCTAGGAAGGTCAATAACGGAAGCTATTTTTCTACTTATGCAATTGATTGAAAAGTTTAGAGCGACGAGAAAAGACCTTTACGTGCTCTTTATTGATCTAGATAAAACTTAAGATAGAGTGCCTCGAGATTTGATTTGACCGGTATTATAAAAGAAAAATGTCTCTAGACACTACATCGACTTGGTGAGAGATATGTACCATGGAGTGCTAACTAGCGTGCGAACAACTAGTGGAGTTACAAGTGTGTTTTTAATGACAATATGCCTACATCAAAGCATTGAGCCTGTACCTTTTTGTCTTAGTTATGGACGACTTAACTAGGCGCCCATGGGATAAGTACCGTGGTATATGTTATTCATAGATGATATAGTTTTGATTGATGAGACCCGAAACGACGTCAACACAAAGTTAGAACTTTGGAGGGATGCTCTAAAATCCAAACGTTTTAAAATTAGTCAGACTAAGACAATATATGGAGTGCAAGTTTAGTAATAATAGGAGTAGAGATAATAAAGTAGTTAAGATTGATGGTCAAGAAATAGAAAAAAATTCCACATTCGATATCTTGGGTCGATAATCCAGAAAAATGGAGAGATCGAGTACGATGTCATATATAGAATTAGAGTTGGGTGGGTGAAGTGGAGATGTGCAACTAGAATTTTATGTGATCCCCGCATACTAATAGGACAACGGTGAGACCAGCTTTGCTCTATAGGTAGAATGTTGGGCGGACAAAAAATAATATACCCATAAAATTAGTGTAGCGAATATGAAGATATTGAGATGGAAGAGTGGCTAGACAAGAATGGATAGAATTATAAATGAATCTATTCGAAAGAATTTAGTCGTGATACCAATAGACGATAAAATGAGAGAGAGTAGACTTAGGTGGGCTTGCCATGCGTGGCGCTGATCAAGTACAACACCTATTAGGATGTGCGAGGTAGTTCAAGTGGAATGATTGAAAAAGGCAAAGGGTGGGCCCCAAAGGATGTAGTTGGAAGTAGTCCGAAAAGATATGGAGACTTATACCGTCACTGATGAAAAACGAAACACTACTAGACAATCATGACCTTGCGATGAACTTTAGATGGTGATGAGGGTAAGCGAAATCATTGTTTATATATATGGCAGTGATTTCATGCAACGATTGCATAATAATATAATGCAACAATCTTCAAAAATCATATTAGAGCTATTTGTTTGATCCAAATTTTAAAATGTACAATCTTTTCATTCTAATGAACAATCACAAATTATTTTTTTTTGAAAATACAATCTACAAAGTATTTTTTTAGCCCAATTAACATAGGCCGTCCATTTTGATAAGATGCTTTAGATCTAGGCCTTTGAAGGATCTTTTATTTTCCAAATTTTTTAGATAATTTTATTATCATCAGATAAACAATGTTAAAAAGATAAAAATGATTTTGAGTTTGTAAATACTAAGATCTTGAAATTCACCAAATGAATGGTCTAGATTCCTTGTTGGAAAGGACTCATTTTGACCATATCTAGGGTTCAAATTGAACTTTTTTTTGGGATTGATTATTAAGATGAAAAGAGTGTGTGTGCAAAATTTTGGGTCATACAAATACCACAAACATGGTTTTCTAGAAGTGTGGTTGCATTATACTATAATACAACCGTTGCATTAGATTATTGCCCATATATATTATTATATTTTATTTATATAATAGATATTTCTAATACAATATATATTATACAGTGTTTATGTTTAAGACCCAGTTTTTATGCGGTTAAGCTCGCATATGTAGAAATGTGAGCCTCGTAATAAATATATTTTTGAGATGGATTTTAAGATTTAATTTCAAAGGACATGTAATCTCTAACATAGAGATCATGAATATGAAAAAATAAATAAATTTTAAAAATTAGAAATCATAATTCTAATAAGAAAACATTTAGACCGTTAGTTTCTATTGTTTTAAGATAGAGCACCTACTTGCATCCATCCTTAAGATGGACGCTTTACTCTTTCTGGACCGTATATGTAGAAATACCATCCAGCCTGCATGAAACAATTTTCCTTATATTTAATATAATATTAGCATAGTATTTAAACAAAGAGTAATGATCCTATAGGATCCTCCCCCACTCATCTGTGTAAGACCCCAAAGGATCACCATTAAAGTTGGTACAGATCTCCAGAAAAGTTATCACATAAGTGTGAGACTTGACTTTTTTATAGATTCGAGCCATATTTAATCGTGATCATTTGGGGTCATATAGGATAACTATCTATTTTAATTAGATATATATTAAACATATTTACAAAATAAATTTAAATATCAAATAAATTACCAAACATATGAAATTCATCACACATCACTTTCTAAAAGTGTTAACAACTGTGGAGTAAAAAAATTGAATTTTTTTTTACATATGTAAATATTTTTCCTAGATTTTTTCCATACGAAACCCAAAAATAAACACTCTTTGTTCTAGAGCAAAAAAAAAGCAGGGAAAAATGACCTCTAATACCCTCCTTGAAATTTCCTATTAACTGCCTGGGTTAACCAAAATCCCTTACACCTTCAAGTTTTAAACTTTGGGACCATCAGCCATTTAATTATATATTTTTTTTGTTCTTTTTACAAATTTGATCTTTTTGTTTTACAAAATGCCAAACCTATACATTAGTCTTCCATATTTTTTTTTGTGACTTGATATATAATTTTTATTGATGGCAATAATTTATAATTATTATAAATAATTAATAATTATAAGAATAATGATCTCATGAGACCCTCCCACGCCTATGTGTAGGACTTTAAAATATTATCATTAAATTTGGTACAGATCTTTAAAAAAAATTATCATATAGGTGTGAGATTTGACATTTTTAGAAGTCGGTGCCAAATTTAATGTTGATCATTTGAAATCCTACACACAAAGATGTGGGAGGGTCTCGTAGGATCATTACTCAAATAATAATAATAACAATAATAACAATAATAATATATTAATTATTAAATATTTCATCCTTTAGAAGTATTTTGATAAAATTTTTTAATAAATAAATAATAATAACCAGTAACAATAGTAACAAATATCTCGACGATCTAACAATATTGATATAATTGTAAAATTTTGAAGTTCAAACTAAATTGGTATAATTATAAAATAAATTATAATGTTAAAAAAATTTATTTTTTTTTAATATCTAAATTTATAAGGTGGATCGACCAAGGTACGATTGGTTTTAGGCGACAAAAGAGAAAAGGAAGGAAACATTTCGTAAAATTAAAACATCAAATTCGTAAAAAAAAAAAAACAAAGAAAATCAGAATTAGGGGCTGACAATTGGCACAAGTGCTTTTAGTGAATCCCGGGCAAATAGGGATGGAAGTTTCTAAACTGCTCTGTCTCTGTAACCTATTGAAGGATCCTCTGTTCTGAGTTTCTCCTCCTCTTTTCTCTCTAAAACTCCAGTTAACTTCGTACAGAGAGGCTCTTGGTTTTCTCTCGCTTCTTCTCTCTCTCTCTCCCTGAACTTCTACAGTTCCACCGCTTCCTCTTGTCTCTCTATTGCCATGAATCTCATCAATATTCTGAGTGAGAACCCAAACAAACCTACCTTTTTTTTTTTGCTCCTAATCTTGTTTTTATGGAACCCATCTCAGGAATGCTCTTGAGTTCTTTTTAATTTTTCAAATATGATTCAGGGCTGCAGAAGCGGGCGTTATTTTTCCTCTCAGAGAAGCCCCCTTTGTACATGGTTTTTGCTTCTCAATACTCAACAGCTCCTTCCACTGAAGAATATGCGAAAAGGAATTATGCAAAAAATGCCTCAGAATATAACACTGTTTTGAGTTGCCTTATTTCTCAGAAAAGGTATTATTCAGAACTTGGTTTTATGTAGTTCATAAAATATTAAAAAACCCTCCAATTCCTTCCTATCTTTTTTTTTAAAATTTCTGGTACGTGTCTTTTATTTAAGTTCAGCCCATATTAGTTCTTCACTAGCTTCATGCAACAGTTAAATTTATTGTGGAATTTCTCTTTTTTTTGCTTTGTTTGTTTTGCCTCCCTATTTTCTTTTGTGATTGATTCTTACATTTGCATAAAATTCTTACTGATTTGTACTTGTATTTTCCTTATATTTTACCCCAAAATGAACTCAGGCACTTCTTGTTGAGAGATGTGTATGAAGACATGCTGTTAGATGGAGTTCAGCCAGTTAGAGATGTTTTCCATTCATTGATTGTTGGTACAATGAAAGGGGCCAGACTCCAAGATGCTTTTTTCTTTAGAGATGAGATGAAATCAATGGGATTGCTCCCTGATGTAAGTATTTTTTGTTCTTTTACATTTATTTATTTTCTGGTAATGAGTAACAGTAGAATGTTGGCGTGTTCATAAAGCTTCATGTATTTATGGTGATTGCTACTCCATTGTCTAGAATAGAGTGTTCTTTTAGCTCCATAGCTACTTGTTCTTTTTCCAATGGTTTAATGCAGCTGGTTGAAATCTTACCTTGTATGAGATCCTTATCTGCTACACAAAGTGGTGAGCTTGAAGATGTGTGTCCCTTTCGCATAATAAACTAGTAATGAAAAACATTTTGGTTGATCTATGGGTGCTCAATGCTAACTTTTTTGGGGCATTGTTGATTCGGAGTCCAATCCTCTGGTTGGGGAGGTCATGTTTTCCAATGAAGTTCTTCACTAAAATCATTATGGTTCACATGTCATTTGGGGCTGATATTTTCCTATGGGATTGTATACTATGAGACCATTTATCTTTATTACAAGGAGGTCACAATTGGTATGAGCCATTAGATGTCAAATTGGATGCCTTGGGTTGTGTCACAAAGTTCGAGAATTCTTTTTTAACTTTGAGTTCGATCAATAATATACTTACAACCACCCAATTTGAAATTTGACAAGCAAGACTGACTCTGTCCTCCTTGTATTAAAAGTAAATGGTCTCTTTGTATACTTTCCTTTTCTTATTGGGCTTGGCATGAATCCATTGTTATCCAAGTCTGTTTAATATTTGGGTTCTTGACTTGCATTGATACTTTATGGTACAATTTGCCCATGTTTCCAGAGCTTGAGTGGACACTAACATATTAATGTAAAACTAGTAATATGCAATATGCTTGGTCCGAATACTCAAGTAATTGACCAAGTAGATTTACTCCTTATGTTTCAGCACTCGGGACTCATGTTAGTTGGTTATCTTTTTTTTTCTCTTATCTGCGCTGAGAAGAGAAGGATAGTTGTGACTTTTTTGGGCACTAATCTCGACTTGTACTGACATTCTCTTGTGGATCATATAGTGATTTGTGTGGCTGGTTTATACATTGCAATTAATCCGATTCAAATATGTCTCGGATTTTTCTTTGTATTGATACATAATGGGCATGTATTTGCAGATTTGTCAGTAAAATATAATTGCTGCAAGTTAAAGTTGGAGCATAGTTTTAAGACAAGGTTGAATATAGTAGGAGAAGGGGGTTGGTAATGTTGAGATTTTGTGGCCATTGAAAGGCCTTACGAGAGCATGTAATAGAATTTTATAATAGTGGATTAATCAACTCCAGTGGGAGTATGGTCCAGAGGGGGTGAAGCTGACAACATTGATGCCAAGACTTAGGCTAGGCTTGACTAGGTCGAGTTGAGTTCTAACACCCTATAGATCTGAGCATATGGCACAATCGAGAAGGTTTTGCAGGTTAGTCATTGATGAAGTCGGAGAGATGCTCAGGGTAGTTGACCAAGGGACTCAGTGACCCTTGTGTTCGATTGGTAGGCCTGAAGGGACAAAGGCTAAATCCTCATCATGACCATCACACAACATGTACATATGATAGCCATATTGAGAAGTGGACACCATTGAGGGTGTCACATGTATATGTGTGAGAGATAGCCCCCATAACCTAGGCTTGTCCCTAGGGGAAACCTGTAGTCCGTAGACTAGGACTATGTTCTCAACACCTATTAACTGGCTTTGATTGTCCAATCATGAACTCTTGTGATGGACTGTGGGTCATGGAAATTAGGTCAGTTTGATAAAGTGAGTGTGGGACATGGCCACTAGAGGAGATGGAGTGCCTCAGTATATTTGTATTTTCCTTAACGAAGTTGGATCCAATTCCTATCAAATAATTCTAATATGTTTAATTTTATGTTAAATGATTTTTAGAGTATTAATATGAATTTTTAGATATCTTTGGATATTTTATTTTATCAAAATAAGTTTTTAAGTAAGCTAAATTTTTCAGGTATTTACAAATTCAGAGAGTAAAATAAAATACTTCTTTTTCTTCCAAAAATCCTTTTATTTGTTTTAAAATTTATGAAGATTGTGGGGCCCGCCACATTAGGCCCATTTAGATGGGGGCGTGGGGCCCACAATGACCTCCGTAAGTGAGATGCGCCACTCTTTCCTGTTTCCTTGCAGTGTGGCTTGATAAGGAAGCCACATACTGGCATAAGCTGATTTGAAATTTAAAAGGAATGATTTATGAAAATTAAAAGGAATGACTTTCAAGTGGAAGGACTGAAAAGGGCAAGGGGTAGCCCAAAAGGATGCGGTTGAAAGTTGTTCGAAAAGATATGGGGACTTATGGCCTCATGTAGGATATGACCTTTAATAGAGTAGACTAGAGAACCATGATTCATGTAGCCGACCCCAATTATTTGGGAAAAGGCTAAAATGATGATAATTTATGAAAAGAGGATGATTGTATTCAAAATAGGAAGATGTAGAGATTGATTGAAATTAAATAAGAAATTCATATTATATTTCTCTACGTAAAATATTTGATGAGATTAGGTTAAGGAAGCTGGGGGATAAGGTTTTAACACCTTCTTTTAGATTATGATGACAGATATAAGGGTTGTATGGCTAAGATCTCTCACCTCACAGGTCACCTATGGTATACGGTCAAAGTTTTTTTTTTTAATATATATATATATATATATATATATATTGGGGGGTCCATTCTCTACACCCTTACTTGCACCTCGCCCTCTTCCTCCTAGGGTGGCATGCCACCCTCTCTCTTTCATTATATCCTAAAGACTTAGACAAGAAAAGAAGGGGCACACCCTAGAGAGTGCAAAAGAAGGGGGCACACCCCACATTGTTGCATCAAGAGAGGCCTTATCTTTCACATACATGCTCTTGTGTTTTAAGAGAAGGGTTTAGCCAAGCATCCCATTTGTTGAGATTCAAGAAAGGCCAAAGATCCCATACACCATTGTTGGAGGAGACCCGGTGTGGGGTGTACCAAGTTCATTAGAGGTAATCTTGTGTCAAATTACTTATTTTTGTTATACTGTGCTTTTCTTGTTCCCAATCTCCATTTATGTATTTTTATTTAATGAGAAAAGCTTTGAAAGGTGGTAGCAAGTGAGAATCCTTTCTTTGGTTTTTTTTTACGTAATTGAGTTAAAATTGTATTTCTTGGACATATGTAAGTGTTCTAACTGGTATTGCAAAAGTAAAGTAAGTGTTCTAACCGGTATTGCAAAAGTAAATTCTAAATTATATATACTGTGCTAGATCACGTCATCCATTCTCAAGTAGCTTATGGTGATTTTGGTTTGCAAACATGGTGGGTTTATTTCTTTCAACTTGGTATGTATTGCTTAGAAACTAAGGAATTTGAGTATTGTTGAGGCTTAATCAATTGTAGGGGGCTGCATTGAAACTTCAGTGAGTTGTGATAGTGCCTGCCAAGCCCAAATTTGTGGTGAAGGATGATAATTAATTTCCCTATTGTATCAGGAATTTGTAAGTATGGCTTCACATTTGTCTGGAGGAGGTGGTGGGCATGCATGTTTTGCTGCACAACAACAGTGATTGAGAATGCCGCAACAGGGATGGAATGTCATCAAAATGTGTTGGAAATGTTGATTTATTTATTGGGTTTGCGATCTGATCTCTGCACAAAAGAGGGGTGCTAGGTTAGGTTAATGGTTAGAGAACAATGCAATTAACATGTTGTATTGGTACTTATCTATGTACAGCTTGTCTCCTATTGGTTGATAGACAAATATGTGGTGCAAGTGTAGATTAGTAGAATAACCATAATGTGTGAATGGGCAAGGCTGGAAAATTCACCCATTCGAGCGCCCAGGTGGCCAGAGGCCTTGAACGCAGGCCTAGTTGGGTGGGATGGGGCCATGTCACATTGCGGGTGCCTAGGCATCTGGCGAGGCAGCTGTGAAAATTTAGAGAAAGGGGCGAAAATGCCCCTTGGATGGGGGCATTTTTGTTCTTTTTCCCCTCAAATCTTTGTATTAAGACCATGGGGGGTCATTTTAAACCCCCAAGACCCTTGGAGAACCAATTTCAAGCCAAAAACAGGCTTAAATCCGGATTTCTTGTAAGAAATCTAAGATCGAATGAAAATCCAAAATTTTAGATTTCTGGCAAAATCAAAAGGCATTTTCACCCATTCTTTTTGGGGCTTGAAGTGATTGTGCAATGAGGTTTTTGGCAACTAAAGCTTACCCTTTCAAAGCTTGAAGGATTCCGTTTTAGAGGTTAGAGATTTCAAGTTTTGGATTAAGTTTTATGTGCAATTATATATTTCTCATAAGATATTTATACGTATTATGTTTTTTTTTTTTCTCTTTTGTTTGTGGGATTATTATTTCATCTTGAGAATGTGGATTATTATGGTTTTGATGTGTTTAAACTTTGTTTACAAATTTGGATCTGGTTTTGAATTCATTAAACCTAAACCAAATCAAACCAATTCCTCTCTAAATTCTCTGCTTTATGAGTTAATCATAGGCGTTTGACTGGATGGTTTTTGTGCAAAGACTTGAAAGTTCAATATTTTTTATCATATTATGAGTTGTGGTGATTTCTATATATGATTTTCTTTAGTGTTTGACTCCTTAATACAATCTATGAGTTGCAAATTTATGGATTTACTTTTTGGTTTCGTTTTTTTTTATTATTAGTATTATTATTATTATTATTATTATTTTTTTTTTGAATTTAGGTATTTTAACTCATGTCTTGGGGGGTTTGGTACTTAACCAAAGCCTAAAAAAAAATTGGCATTTTGGCTCCCATGTCTCTAGGCTTCCAACTAGGCAAGCAGCCTAGCGTGTTTTCCAACCTTGTGAATGGGTAAGTAAGCCCAAGAGAAACACAATGTACAACTTATTTTTAGAATTCTTAACTCTCCCATCTCAAGTCGGTGAAGAGATGTCGGGGATCAGAACTTGATGATGACTAGTTGTTTGGAATATGTCTTTCCGTAATACTTTGGTAAAGAGATCAGTGATCGTGAATTTTCAAAAAAAAATAAAATAGAT